TTTGACAATGCCCTTTGCCTTAGATTTAGATGTGCCTGTTGATAGAGAACTTGACCTTTGACCTGCTTTCACGTTTCTGAGCTCTGGCGAGATACCTTTTCACAATGCTTTAGTTTTTCAAGGCCCGTGCTGCTTTATTCTTACAAGGCCTGAGGCCTATATTGGGTAAAGGCCCTTTATGTAAGATAAGATAGGGGGTGTGCTAGGAGTATTGACGAGAGGATGGGTTGGGAAGGTAGCCTCCTAATTGGCTGGATAACCATAGGCTGACTGAGGCTGCAACCAGCGCGTGTCTGGAATCCGACTTCTACAACAATCTGGGCTTTTAAAATGAAAAAACAAATAAAAAAAAGGAAAAAAAGATAAAGTCAAATAATAAATACAAAACAAAGCAATGCGAAGTTTTACAAGTTTGGAGGGTGAATTTGTAACTCCCGACCAAATTTGTGAGAAAATAAATCAGAAAAGGAAAAATATTAACAAAATAAAAAATATGCTCTGCTGGTCAATGGGCAGCCCGGCTGGGGGAAGGTTGCCCGGGTACCCTCCCGGACTGCCTGGCTGGGAGAAGGTCACCCGGGTACCCTCCCGGGTGGCCCGGGGCGGGCAGGGTCCTGGGCGCTCCCAGCGCATGATATTAAAAAAAATACAAAATAAAAAATTCAAAAGAATCCGAATAAAAAACTTGTGTAAAATTGCAATACAAACAACTTCGATGCGTCCCTGTTGCATGAACGTATATAGGATGTTGGCAGTCTGCAATGGTGTTGATGTCACGTACATTGGTCTTCAACTTCGATGCGTCCCTGTTGCATGAACATAGATAGGATAGATCGGCTAAGTAGTGTAGGCTGGGCGCCCAGCGCCACTCAGTAGGAGCGACATTGGATACTATGTTGGTGTGGCCGGAGAGCATAGACATTGACATTTGAGCTCATTTTATTGCTTTTATTTGGATGGTATTGCGAGGCATAAGGCCTCGATAAGCCCTACTGGGCCCCTATTTGCAACAGCGTCGGCCGCTCTAAGTGAAGGCAGGCTCGACAGACCCCAAGAGGCCTATTTTGGACTACTTTGCAACTGGGGAAAATTCAGGCAGTTGCGCGGCGCCAGTTGGTTGGAAGCGCCCAGGCCCTGGCCTTCTTTATCAAATGCATCTGAGTCAGGCCCTGGGCGAGATACGCAGCATAGGCCCAACTCAGGCTGTGGGCAGTTGGGCACGGGTAACTGTCGGTGGCCCTGGGCCTGAATCGTTTGGTCTGAGGCTCAGCCTCCCTGGGCCTACCGGAAGCTTCTGGGCAGGGGCCCAGCACAGCCAGGCTGCTCGCACACAGGCTGGCCACTTCCATATAGGGAAGGGCCAGCCAACGCTTTGGACATTCGGGCACTGGCTGCTTTGTGCGCAAGCGCTGCTGCGCTATCGCCTGCCAGGCTCACGCGCTCACGGGCGAGCTGGAAGGAGCAGGCAGCCATAGCCGAGCTGCGCTGCTGTATGCTGTATGGGGCGCATGTTGGTCCTTGGGTGCAAGTGGCATCTGTGAGTTGGGGAACGAGGTTGTGAGTGATACGAGAGACATACCTGGTGCTTGACGCGAGCGGCATTGGCCGAGGTCTGCTCGTACTTGGGAAGCTGTTGACGTCATCAGCGGCATTGTAGTCTAGGCTAGATGGGATCTGCCAATCGTAGTCTGGGCGCCGAGCGCCAGATAGGATATCAACATTGGTTCTTCGTTGATGATGATGAGACTATTCCAGCATTGTCAATTATGAGCTTTTGGTGTGCTCTTATTTGGTGAGACTCGTGATGCAATTCTGCTTTTGGTTCGAGGTCACGGCTATCTGGTCTCATGTGTATAATGCTGTTTGATTGCTGAAGTTCGCTATCGCTCATCTTCCTTGCAGTACCTTGGTGCATTGTGCTGCTTGGTACATGACTACCTGGACTTCGGCGTGATTTTGCAATTTGGATTTCTTTCTATCGCTCTCGCTCATATTCCTTGCAAGTCGAAATGTACCCTTTTGAACCCCTTTAGTCACTGTTTATACCCCCCAACCCCGCCCTGGATGACCCATCACCAAAATCGAAGTTAAGACCGGATTCTGACTGAGCAGGCCAAGCGCAGTCCCATCTGGTTTTGGCGGGCGACCCCCCCTCTACCCAGCTGACCGGGGTGTGCCTGGCTGGGCTTCCCGGCCGGGCGACGGTGCAGCATAGAAAATATATTTTCTTAGCTTTTTTAAAACTTTTTCGACGCCCCTTGGTCCACATCAGATATAGCTGTTTCCACTTCAGGTTGCTGTGCCTGGGTGGATCTAGTGTCTGTGTCCTGTTGTAGGCATGTTCTTTGCTCGGACTTAGAGTGTACTCACACTAGGACACACTACGGTCTTCACCGGAATAGAATGCCCGGTTATTATCACTGTATATTTTTTTCTGTTTTTCTAACTTTTGTTTTTTTTAATCACCGGTCCCAACCTGCTAGCCGAGGTGACATGAGCATCCTCTACTGACAGGCCTGCCACCGGTTACTCCAGGCTTATTGGTGGGAACCAGCCCCTGCTGGAAACTGGGTCCAGCATCCCATATAAAATRTTCCATATTTACATAAACATTATATAGATGGTTGCAGACTGTTCCCAGTCTCAGGATCATTCTGGAGGCATTGATTACTCTGAGGGGTGGCCGGAGGGTATACCACCCACACTGCTTTTTTACAACAACCATCTGAAGGTACAGGCCCGGGATGGGGCCACGTCCTGCACTGCACCCCTTGTGTCCCAGACCAAGAAGCCTTCCTCACACCCCAGCTCAGTTCAACCAAGGCACCACTTTGCAGGGGAATAGGTCTGGGAAATCAGTCGGTGGGCACAACGGGATGGATGCATCAATCGTGGTCCACTTTCTGAAACACAGCTGGTATTCTTTGCAGTGGTCGGAGTTTTGCCGGTCCCTGCACTGCTACCCATCCCACTCCACAATCGCCATCCTCCCTCCCCTTTCCCTACCCAACCATTCCATGCAGAACTTGGTTATG